TATTTCCCTGGGTTGCATGGGAAGGAAGATGAAATGGGGGGGGGGGGGGGGGGGGGGGGGACGACCATGTTTGCTGAATTGGTGAGAAAATGGGAAAACAGGGGGTATAGGACAGAGCGCTATGGAGGTGTCTACTGTCTACATTAGGGTTTCCCAAACTCGGTCCTCGGGACCCCAAGGGGTGCATGTTTTGGTTTTTGCCCTAGCACTATGCAGCTGATTCAAATAATCAACTAATCATCAAGCTTTGATAAACCAAAACGTGCACCCCTTGGGGTCCTGAGGACCAAATTTGGGAAACGCTGGTCTACATTAACTGACACTAAGTAATTATTACTGTGTAAGCATTAGGCTGCAATCTGTCCTGAACTGGAAAAACTATGGGCCAAAATAAGCATTTATTCAGTGTAAAAAAAAAAAGTCATCAGAGTGGTAACATTTTACTCCTTTACAGAAATCCTGAAATGTTGGCTGAAGCAAATGAGCCCCATTTAAAGGGACATGACAAATGTAATGTCATGTCAGAATGATTGGATCTTGAACATTTTAAAATGGGCTTTCAATCTCTAGTAGCCATGGCCACCATCCGCATGTGGTCACACACTCTTTAGAACCCCCAGTACACCACACTCACACATGTAAAAATACAATTAGGCATTTACTTGTATTATTTTACTTCACGTTTCATGAAAATGCAAATTAGAGAATATCAGTTAGTTGTGACCCGAGCAGCCCAGGAAAATGATCAGGCAGGAAGAGCTTGATTAGTGGGTGAGAGAATAGAAGGCTAGGCAGCAGCTTGGTTTAATGAGATCTCTGTCTGTGGCACAGCTGTTCAGAGCGAAGGCTCTCTCACTGTGCTCCCTGACCCATCATTTCACAGCCCACTGGTAATGAGATTGATCCTGCTTGCCCAAAAATGGAGAGAGGAGAGCAAGCAGGTGCCGCCACCACCACTACCAAAGACAGCAGACCCTTCCCTCGCTGTCACAATCTGCCCCATCACCACCTACTTGCCTTTCAAAACCACAGTGATAGGAAGAATTTCAGGAAGTTGAAGAAGACATTTGCATCCCAAGCTTCCATGCCTATGGCCTGCAGTTAAAGGGCTGCATGCTCATTTAAGGCACATCACATTATCCTGGTTGTCTGTGAGTGTTTGATGGTGAATATGTCTAAGATCAGAAGAGCAAGCTCTCTTTTCCATGTTCAATATTGAGCTGTACTGGGGTGTTCATGCTATAGTTAATATAGAACCTAGCCAAAAACAAATAAAACACAGCTTAGGACGACAAGCTACAGTGACTGTACAAAACATTAGGAACACCTTCCTAAAATTGGGTTGCACCCACTTTTGCCCTCAGAACAGCCTCAATTCGTCGGGGGCAATGCCTACAACAGTAGTCACCCACCAACCTTTTCTGAGTCAAGATCACTTCCCAGTCAAAAAGCAAGCCGAGATCTACCGCTCAGATTTTGTTTTACATGACTTACATTTTACATTAACCTATAAAAACAGTTCTCTAGGAATTAGGTTTGTGCAGTAGGCTACATTATCACAGCATATTGGCTATATGCCTGGCCTGCCAATATTGTTCTTCTCAGACCATATTATATTTCAAAACTCGAGCTTTGATAACTAAATAGAGCAGTTGGTGTAGCACTTGCGAGGCACAGCTCAGGATACATTTAAAAAATGTGATAACAATCTGCTTTTTTGTAGGTCATGGTGCTTTCAAGACAACTGTGAACTCTGGAAAAAAACAAGGTCAAATCATGACGTCAGTGATCTTCAAGTCGGAAAGTCTAGGGTGTGTTCGTAAATTCAGAGCGTTGTCAGATTGTCCTTTCGTAAATTCAGAGCGTTTCGCTCTCGGAGCGTTCAGAGCACACACTGGACACTCTGGCCGAGGAGTAGGGTTGATCAGAGCGTTCTGACCTCACAACGGCAGTCAAGCACCCAAGCTAACGTTGGCTAGCTTGCTAGCTACTTCCAGACACAAATGAGAGAACAGCTCACTGACCATTTTACTCGCCCTAGCAGCTGGTTAGGCTGTTTTCATGTTATCCAGAGCGTTGGTGACTAACTGTGCTGCTGGCAACAATTTAATTACGCTTTTTTGCCGACGTTTACTGACAGCGGCCATATTCAACGGGTGTTGAGCGTTCGAAAATTCATCAGTTATTCGGAGTAGATAGCCAGAGTGAATTTACGAACGCACCCCTAGAAATATGCCAAAATTTCCGACTTGGAATTCAGAGTTAGATGACCATTCAAAGCTATTTTTCCCAGTCGGATCTCGTTTTTTCCGAGTTACCAGTTGTTTTGAACACGGCATTAGTCTCAGAAGTACCTTTTATGTTTTGTAATAGTGATGAATAAAACAGTGTTGACCGTGTTGAATAAAAACCTAAACATGAACTCACTGATAACAGCAGCTCTTTGCTGTATTCTTTGACAGTCCCTCTCTGGTCATGGTTTTGAAAGTTATGAAATCTCACGTAGGCTAGTATAAACTTTGCTGTGGCAGGGGTCGTGGAAGCTGTGGGCGCGGTGATTTGAGCTATCCGATTGGCCTAGCGCAGTAGGCACACTCGATTTGGCCACAGATCTCCCGGTCCGCCGAGTAGGCGGAGTTTGTATTTTCAGACAAATGAAAAGGTCAAAAAATGGGAACACTTTGCAGTGTACTGGGCTTCTGAATCAAGTGCACCTACTGCCATCACTACTAAAAACAAGAAACGGAGCGCAAGCCTGTATCTTTGGCTTTTCTACAGAAATGTTTGATGATCGACTAGGAATGCCTTGAAGATTGACCTTGAAGATTGACCGGCTAATGGCCACTGGACTACAAGGTGTCAAAAGTGTTCCACAGGAATGCTGGCCCATGTTGACCCCAATGCTTCCCACAGTTGTGTCAAGTTGGCTGGATGTCCTTTGGATGGTGGACCTTTCTTGATACACATGGGAAACTGTTGAGTGTGAAACTCAGCAGTGTTGCAGTTCTTGACACTCAAACCGGTGCGCCTGGAACCTACTACCATACGCTGTTCAAAGGCACTTAAATATTTTGTCTTGCCCAGTCACCCTCAATGGCACACATACACAATCCATGTCTCAATTGTCTCAATCCTTCTTTAACCTGTTTCCTCCCCTACATCTACACTGATTGAAGTGGATTTAACAAGTGACATAAATAAGGGATCATCACTTTCACCTGGATTCAGCTGGTCAGTCTAATGGAAACAGCAGGTGTTCCAAATATTTTGTACTCTGTGTATATGCATCTAAGAGTAAGGTAGGACTATATCATCATAACTACAGCCTGGTCAATGCTTTAATTCTGCTAAGGATGCATACCATTCACCTTTTTCAATATTTCTGTAGGAGGCTCAGGACAGGGAGATGCATAAGATACCGTGCATCGAATGCAATTTCAACTGGATCTCATCTCTCACGATTCAACCTTACTAGGCGGAGACTTGGCGTGAAGAGAATATGCATATCACGTTGAAGACCTTAAAAGGCGGACACATCTTGCGCATGTGCGCCTTATTTGGAGAAGAAATGGGTGCGGCTACCGTTTGTATGACCAATTACACGCGGCTATCTCACGAGGTGTGGGGTGGTGTCACGGATTGAGGCGAGGCTCTCAGCCATCCGTGGGAGGGGCTTTAGGAGGGGGCAGAGCTCTAACCGGAAGTGTCTCGCGGCTGAGAACCCTGTCATTTGGCCACGGTCGGTTCTGAGGAGAGGTACAGCTACCGCGAAGAAACACAGGAACAAGTCAGTTAGCAAGAGACACAATTTAAATCATTTAAACAATGAAACCGACCGAATAAGCCACTACAGTTAACTAGTGTTGAATTAGTTGTATACATTTAATTCAATGACGTAATTTTTTGATACAGTCAAGGTTAGCGGCTCGCGAGAGAGGGCTGTGTCATTGATCAGGCAGGACACGTCAGGAGAGGAGAGAAAAGCTGTTTAGCCATAGCTACTGTATGAGCGAAAGGCATAAAAGCACCATATCGCTTGTGTCATAAACTTTCTTTTCATAATTGTATCAGACACATCGAGGTTGCAGTTTAACTACAGGACGGATCGAGTCATCGCCTGGATCAAGGGTAGCGACCAAAAGGTGAAAAAGGGATTTTATGCTCGGTGTGTGTGCAGCGTCGCTTTAGCCAGATTACGTTATTCAGAACAGAAGCTAGCTAGCTAGCATCTACGACTATCGACTTGATAATATGTTTAATATTTTGCCTAAAACAATCAGAAACGGTATAAATAGAGATATCTAATGCGTTAACTAGCTACGTCATCATTTTTCTGAAATTAAAGGGTCGAGTCCAAATAGCACCCACACAGGGAATAGGCTTTGACAGCTGTCACGCAAGGTCGCTTGTCTGTCATGATTTCGTTCTAAATTTAGCTAATAAGATACATTTTCCAAATACTCTTGAATAACACTATTGCAACTAGCAAGCTAATTACGGCTGTTATCGACAAAATGCTAGCTAGTAAGCTAGTTGGCCTTAGAAATGTTGGCTCGACTGTCCGACATAGCAGGCTAACGTTAACTAGCTGCTTGCTGCTAGCTGCTTTGGCTAGCTGCTTGCGGGTAGCATATTCTGTGGCAACGTCACGAGCCTATAGTTAAAGATGTTGCTAGCTAACTAACTAGCTAGCATGCAAAAAAAAAACATTTAACTACAAGGAACTGATGTGGCAGAGAAACATGTCTTGTTAGTAAGGTTATTATACTGGCAGCTATTCTCGACAGATAACGTTAGCTGAGTATAGCTAGCTGTTATTCGACTAGCAAGATGGTTAGCAGCAGAAAAGGACTCGATTGCTATCAATGTCCTTTCTGATTTCTCTATCAGCCTGATTTTCATTTACAAACATTGAATTAATAACTGGTGTATTTTGTTTTTGCCCCTCTCTTTAGGACCTAAAGATCACGGGATAGCAGATATTGTGTGTGGGAAAACAAATGGGGGATTACGGGTTTGGAGTCTTACTGCAAAACAACACTGGCAACAAGTCTGCTTTCCCAGTTAGAATTCATCCACATCTGCAACCTCCACACCATCATCAGAATGTGTCTCAAAGCCCTGCTGCATTTATAAACAATACCACAGCTGGTAATGGCAGTAACAATGGGTCACCTTGGCTGTTTTCAGCCACAGCTGCCCACAGCAGCATGCAAGATGAAATTCTTGGGTCAGAAAAGCCCAAAGCCCAGCAACAGGAAATGCAAGAAACGCAAGAAAAACAGCAACTGTCCCCTGGCCACCAGGAGTCTGGAATCATATCTGAGTTAGAGAAGGCGAGGTCAGAGGAGAACAAGGTGGAGGGCGGCCCCTCCGAGGGTAGCAATGGAAAAGAGAAGCTGCGCCTCGAGTCCCCAGTACTGACAGGCTTCGACTACCAAGAGACATCAGGTCTTGGGACTCCGGGCCAGTCCAGTACCTCCTCGTCCCTGACTGGCTTCAACAACTGGTCAGCTGCTATTTCCCAGACCCCCTCCACCATCATCAACGAGGATGTCAGCTTCTTCAACCCAGCTGCCTCTGCTAACAACGGGCCCCTCCTGTTTCAGAATTTCTCCCACCACGTCAGCCCAGGCTTCGGGGGAAACTTCTCTCCCCAGATTGGACCCATCTCCCAGCACCATCCCCCACACCCCCACTTTCAGCACCCCCACAACCAGCACCAACAGCACCGAAGGTCCCCCGCCAGCCCCCACCCTCCTCCCTTCCCCCATAGGAATGCTGCCTTCAGCCAGTTGCCGCATTTGTCCAATAACCTGAATAAGCCCCCGTCACCTTGGGGTAGCTACCAAAGCCCTTCTCCCTCTCCCTCCTCCACTTCCTGGAGCCCCGGTGGGGGCTATGGTGGCTGGGGAGGCTCCCAGGGGCGTGAGTACCGTCGGGGCCTCAACGGAGGCATGACTCCCCTGAACTCAATCTCCCCACTGAAGAAGACCTTCCCCAACAACCACGTGCCGTCGCAGAAGTACTCCCGCACCAGCCCCGGCTTCAACCCCAAGTCCTGGATGGACGAGAGTGTGAGCAGGAGCGAGAACATCTTCCCCTTCCAGGTCAGTGAATAGTTCTCACCGCTTTTATATCTCTTAATTCTGTAATGATACTTAGAGCCACTCATTGAGATGTAATTGCATTTTGTGTACCCAAAGGCCCTACTCTACATTATATGATGAATTTGTCACAGTATTAATGTTAGTCCTATGCTTTAATTGCCAGAGGCCCCTTATAACTAGTGTAGCTCTGCCACTGCAGTGATGATGTCCCACTATATGAGATAGAGAAGCTATGACATAGCCTAGAACGTATCAGATATTTTTCTTCAGCCAGAGAACACGCGGTAGAGTGTATATAATAATAACTCAAGACTAGCGGTCTACGCTGTCTTTATAATGCCATTGCATTTCTAATGCAATTTGATAGCACAATGTGAAGATGACTTAGATAACAGTGTTATGCGCAGAGAACACTGATAGGATTGATGGAAACGGCATGGAGGTTCTTTTATTGATCAAGCACAGGGGTGACTGCGTCTGGGGGGGGGGGTAAAGGTGGGTGCGGGGGTTGGGCTGGTATATGTGCTGTAAGGCCTGATTGAAGGCTTTGAGGATCTCCTTCCTACCCAGAAGTGCTGCATCATCAGCCATGATGCCATACCGACCATGTTAGATATTGATAATAGCCTAACTACTATGTTACTGCAGCACACAGCAGTGCTGTGCCCTTGTTGGTTTAGAATCACCCTGTGCTGCTCAGGCTAGCTCGATTGTGACACTGCCCTCTAAATATATTGGGGGTAGAGGGCTAGATTGGGGGTTTTAGCTTCCTGATGCAGGCTGTAATACTTCAATTGTATTTTCAAGAGGCTGAATATTCTCACATTTCGGGTTAGGTTGGCCTGATGGGCAGTTTGAGATGCAGAGCGTTGAATAGAGACTGTCAGAATGAAGGTGTGCTCTTAAAATCCATTGGAAATGAGGTTGAATCCGCTGCAACAGTCTCTATATCGAAGGGTTGAGTAGAGAAAGGACATAGGCTACTTTCGTGTGACTGGACCGTTTGAAAGTGCTGTTGATTTATTACACAGCTATTCCATTTCTACTGTACAATCATGTTTAGTCACACACTAGGCTAACTCGCATGGTTGTATTCTATTTTCAGTGTTTCCCCTAGGATTTTTTTCAGCAGTGGTGGCAAGGCTAGCGGGGGTGGGCGGTGAGTGCATTGCTACTAGCGTAAGCGCAATGACATGCTAGCTGTTCCCATAGACTTCCAGTCATTGAGCCAACGACTATCCATTTAAAAGCGCATCTCGGCAGAAATATATATATATATATTTATATATGATGTATTACATATTTTTTGCAGCGTTTGGTAACAATTTAGCAGCGGTGGGTCACCGCCACTAAATGAATATAGGAGAAACACTGATTTTTGTACTAAGGACATTACTACATAATAACTAGGTTTTCTGTTCGTCTCTGTCCCTGACCAAGCAATGTTTTCAGCTTAAAGTGGACAGTGATGGTGAACACAAGCCCATTTCCATGGATCACATGCCTTTCTCTTGTGACTGCCAGGCATTTCCAAATGGCTCCACATAGTTTCCATTTTCTCACAGAGGCAACGTGTGGGGGATTGTGGTGTCCCTTTTGGAGTTATCTTGTCCTGTTTGTTTACTCCCTATTCATTCTTAACCACTTACCTGTTTTAAAATAATAAAATGCAGCAGCCAATAGGCTGTCACCTCTTTCCTTTTTTAGCATAGCCTACATCCATCAAGTTGACACAACATTTAGGCTACATTGCTCAAGTAACATTGTGTAGAAATACCTTAATGTCTGCAAAACCTTGGCACCATACCATGTAGCAGCACCTTTTCATAGAAACCCTTGGTTATGTTAATCAACGCTGGATGATGTTCGTAGCCTATTTAAAGGAGGCTTCACTGACTGTTTAGGTGTATGCCTTGGGGACTTAACTAGTTACATTGATACAAGTGATGCGATACCCATCTCTTAGTCAGAGCTTAATGGCGCTGGAAGTTTCCATAGGCCTCCTGTGTCACAGCCAAGAATATCTCATGTTTGGTGTGAAAGCAGAGGCTGTCTGGTGGGGGAGGAGAGCACTGGTTCCATGCAAGCTGACACAGGTGAGGCGTTCATGATTAGGCTAACCAGCGGCTTAGGGAGAAAATAAGAAGGGAGATGCTGCTCCCACTCAGGGGAGAACAAAAACGGGCAACAAAAGGTTTGTCAAGAGACAATGGTGCTAAAAACAAAAGGCCCCTCCTTTTATTTAGATGTGATGTGCATCCTGTGATGGCCTTGGGCTGTGCTGCTACTGATCACAGATCAGTACTGTACTGGGAGACCTAGACCACTGTAGGATGGCTGTTTGTTTAGCTGGCTAGGCCACTGTCCTCTGTTTGTTTCTGGATTAGAGCAGCTTTTGCCATTGGGTGCAGGTGCCCGTGGCAAACAGTCATATGTTACCTTGGTCTAGTGTCATCTCTCAGGGATTAGTGACTGTGCCTCCCAGAGAGGGGATGTCATGAAAACATTATACAACATGGACAGTGGACGAACACACACGCCAGAATCATCTCTGGTGATATTCTTTCAAAGATTCTACATATTCCATACATGGAGAGGAGACAGTTTGTGTGAATGGCCCTGGTCCCTACTATACTGCCTTTGGGTATGGTGCTAGAGCTATGTTATTAGGCCTCTGCACTGAGGCAAGGTAGGTCTTTCACTTTCTAAAACCCAAACCCAGGCAGCCTCTTAGCCCTGTGTAAGCTGCTCTACAGCCTTCCTTGACTGGGAGGGATAGGGCCTGCTGCCATGTAACATGCCTGTGGATTTGGGGCTGGGTAGGCACCCAAAGGGCCACATTAGCGATCTACTTGGGAAATTGTTAGTAGAGGTAGGTTATGGTCATGGTATTCTGGTTAGCTAGTTTAAATTGACATACGTTTGCTTGCATGTATAACTGCTCCAAATCAGAATTGAGGTTATTATCATATTAGCTTTTTTTCATTGAACCATGCAATATATATTTATGCCCTAATAGAATTATGGGAACATTGGGCAGTGCACAAGGACCTTAGTGCTTGGTGATTGCGTTGTCCTTGTACACAAGGCTGAACATTTGAATCTGGAATTCATTTAATATTTTCTCATTTCAAAGAGATTCATAAATCCTGATTTGAATAGGTATGACACAAGTCCCAGTAAGTCATTAGTTTATAGGAGACGTTGCTGCATTGTGTTTTTAAAATCTATAATGCATTAAGAACATCAAAAGTAGTCTATGATATCCATTGGGTCACGATTTGGCAGGATGTCTTATCAAAATAGAAAACATCTACCCCAAAGGTCTCTTGTTCACATCACTGTTGGGTATCAGTTGACAGTGTGCTAAGGGGAAGATGTTTTCGATCATGTGCACTACACTGTGTGACTGACTGCTGTTCTGAGGTCCGTTCCAGATGTCATCTTTTGTTCTACTGCTATAGTTACAAGCCTCATTCATTAATTGTCATTCAACACCTCGTTTACGGCCAGAACACTCTTCCAGCTATTCAAATTTCGAGGACATCAGCCAATTAGGCATGATCCTATGGCGTTAAATGCGGCAAATGTCCCTGGAATAATTAAATAACCATCAGTGAGTAGCGCACAACTGTGTTCTTATGTTCTATTCGCCCTTCTCTTACCCTCGAACAACGTTTTGAAACAGGAAGTATCTTGTGTGTTGTAATATGAGAGAGAGAGAGATGTAAAAGAAATGTCAGAAGTGTCACAGGCATTTAATACCCCTTCTCTGATTAGGCTCTGTTGCTGTTCTTTAATTACTTTATCACCAAAGTAGATCTGGGTCCCCCGTGGAACCAGTCTGCACCCCCTGCCTCCCTAACCAGGCTCTGGGGCTGGATTAATGGGCTTGAGGGTGTTTTTAATGTGCAAGGCTTTGAAAAACCTTGACCAGCAACACAAAAATCAACAGTGTCAAAGCTGGGCCCCTTATCCCTACCTCCCTCCCCCGTTCCATTCCCTTTTTCATTAGTATAGCCGTGACATTGTAGATTAATGTTGTAGCAGAAACACCCTTAGCATGCCATACTTAATCATTCTGCTCAGGGTGTTTCATCAAGGCCTATTTTAGCAGTGTTCTTCACGTTGGATAGTTTGGCCCTAGCTTCAAGCTCCCAAACACGGGCTCTCTGCCTGGAGAGAGTTATTATAATACAAATGGGTTACACCGGTTTGGTCTCCTTCACTGTTTTCTTCTTTGTTACACCGGTTTGGTCTCTCCCTGACTGTTTCCCTCTTTCTTTTGTCTCTTTTATAAGGTGCACCTATTTTTCCTCATAGTTGGGATCGGGGGAATTATTTTATTACATTCCTGTATACTCTACCGTTCAAAAGTTTGGGGTCACTTAGAAATGTCCTTGTTTTCGAAAGAAAAGCAATTTTTTTGTCCGTTTTAAAATAACAGCAAATTGATCAGAAATACATTGTAGACATTGTTAATGTTGTAAATGGCTATTGTAGCTGGAAACGGCTGATTTTTAATGGAATATCTACATAGCCGTACAGAGGCCCATTAGCAGCAACCATCAGTCCTGTGTTCCAATGGCACTTTGTGTTTGCTAATCCAAGTTTATCATTTTAAAAGGCTAATTGATCATTAGAAAACCCTTTTGCAATTATGTTAGCACAGCTGAAAACTGTTGTGCTGATTTAAAGAAGCAATACAACTGGCCTTCTTGAGACTAGTTGAGTATCTGGAGCATCAGCAATTGTGGGTTCGATTACAGGCTCAAAATGGCCAGAACAAAGAACTTTCTTCTGAAACTCGTCAGTCTATTCTTGTTCTGAGAAATGAAGGCTATTCCATGCGAGAAACTGCCAAGAAACTGAAGATCTTGTACAACGCTCTGTACAAAAATTGCTTTTCTTTCGAAAACAAGGACATTTCTAAGTGACCCCAAACTTTTGAACAGTAGTATATGTGTGACTCTTCTATTATGTAAACTAAATGCGTCATCATGCTTCTGTTCGGCTGGCAAACCAAAAGTGTGTGCTCGCATACTCCCTTAAAATACCTTCGCTTGAACGTTTTGGAAAAAGCGGCAATGGTACTGTTTGGCCATTTTGACACGCCATAGCCACTTCCTCAAAATAATCAGAATTAATCTAATCTGTCATTAATTTAACGTTTTTGCAGAGGGGATCTTAGTCGTGCAATTTTACATCCAAACTAAGATGTTTGGTGCAGTATTTCTCAATGAGAAAATGTGCATGAAAACGAGTCGTCTCTCGTTGAATGACGACAGACTTCATTGAAGAATCCCTACAGCTGACCAAATACAGATGAAGGGGTGTAGACTTCGGCTCCCGAACTTCTGCTGGCCTCGAGAATAAATGTGTGCCCAAACAGCCAAAAAAAGTCCAAAACGAACAAAAACGTCACAAAATGTCGTCATAATATATTCTCCAACTCTTCTGAAACTGTTTTGGCTGGGAAGCATGCGGACGCCTAAAGCCTGACTTTTTTTAATTTACAATTTTTCTGAAAGGTTATTGTTGAGGTTGGTAAGGAAGTGTCTTATCTGACCTGCCCACTTTTCCGTGTGTGTACCTTGGAGATGAACCTAACTTATCTTGTGAGGCTGTGCGATAGAGAGACACACTGAGGGCCGGGCAGGCTCAGCTTGCCCATGCCATGTGTGCTCTTAATGGCTGTGTGTGTGCGTCTACGTACGTAGCCTAGCCCTTCTAAGCTTCCAGGGATGAGTGCTGCTGCCTGTTCATCAGATGGGAGGAGGTGTGTAAGAGAGGAGGGGCAGATCAGATAGTTAATCGCTGTGGTTGCCAATCCATTCAGATGCTTAGCAACAACCGCAGCCATGCTTGTGCGTCGTCGTGGTGGCGGAAGGGTTTTACAGGATCTTGCACACACCTTTTATGGCATCTCCTTACTTATTACTGTACTAAAACCCTTCCTGCTTTGCCTCCTAGGGTAGGTCTAGGGTTGTTTTTTTCCCCAACTGGGTTTAGTGAACACAATGTTTTTTTTGGCTGGGTAGATTTAGTTGAGAATGTAATTTGTAATGAGTGTTCTTGCAGTAATCTCTGGTAGCCTATTTGACTTCAAGTAGTTCATGTCTCCAGTGCATTGTAGAAAATAAACCATAGTCGACTGCAGCACCAGCCTGCTGGTGATGGTTTGGTTGTCCCTCCCAAGGCCATGGTTGTTAATGTTATTACTTTAAATGGTGGCCATGGAGCAGTAAACACCTGCCTAGCATGATGTGTATTTTACCTGAAGGTGATAGGGTGTAGCCTAAGTTATATAAAGCATGGATTTGTCAGTAAACAGTATTGAAATACTTAAAATTGGGCTTTTGTAGAAATCTAAATGTGATTCCATAACATGTGAGACATGACCATGTCCAAAACACCACATGAGCCTTCATACTAGTGCTTCTCCAGTCATATGACAGCCAGTCAACTGTGAATAATTTCCAGCTCTTGTGCAACAAGCCTCACATTATCATCAGGTAGGACTTGTCTTGTGTTATTCCTGGCTGGCCTCTGGTATGCCATTCACTAGAGGGTTTTTACCTGCTTGCTGCTCAAGTAATTCTTAGAAACGAGCCGAGACTACCATTTTTCATGGAAAGTGTTCATTATCCATAGAAAATAATCCAAGTCAAGGACAGTGAGTGAGAGGCTGCCTTGTTTTAGTAGTAGGCCTGGATATTGTTTTTGAAAACAAGTTGAACTGCTGGCTTAAGAACGTGTTTGGTTTAGGTTATGAGCGCCCTCTTATCGCACTGCCACGTCGAGCCCGACTGGCTGAAAGAATTGAACATTTCCAGTTTGGTCACGGTGTCAGTCCTTTTCATGGTCTTGTGTTTAAAGTTAATCTCAATCATTGTTTGCATGAGCTTCCTCTGCGTGCACTATGAGCCGACGACCTGCATTCTGTACAGAATAATACTTGCAATGAAAATGTGTAGATACAGATTTACATCAATAAGAGATGAAGCTATACATTAATTATAACACATCAACACTGCAGTAAAAAGTAACTGTCACGATTTCATTTACTTCACATTCACAGTATTTTGTATTCCATGCATGAAGTATCAGTGTGTGTGTGATGGGATGAAAGCCTAATGGAAATTTCATGGCGTCAGACTCAGAATATAGGCCAAAAAATGTAACATTTAACCAGCGGCAGCTGCATCCCTCTAAAGCAGAACTCTCATCTATCTTTTACACAGGAGCGCACCAGATCCTTTGATGGCTTCAACATGCACTCCCTGGAGAACTCTCTCATTGACATCATGAGGGCCGAGCAAGATACCCTGAAAGGTAAGATGACAATCACAGCAACATCAGGATCACATGTCCGGTCACAAAATTGCTGTTAGTGGCCGTATCTTACAACCTTTGTCCTCCAAATCTGCTGCAAGGTCATCGAGGACAGCTATGTCAGACAACTGCTGATCTGAGCTTTCATTTCAGCCCTAGAGTAGACTAGGAAATAAAGCGTGAAGGCTTATGTAGGCTATTCTACAGAGAGTGCAAATGGACTTATGATTGTGCAGTAGGTGTGTAATGGTACACATTCGTACCGAACCGTTCGGTACGGGGACCTCGGTTCGGTCCGCACTGTGAACCCGAATAAATACATAATAAAACAATTAATGAAACCCCTAGGCCTATAGGCTATGCCGGGTTGTATGCCATTGCCACTTGAGTAAATCGGAGCTGAAAAAAAGATTGTAGGCTGTTCCGTTAAAGCTACAATATGTAACTTTTTGGGCGTCCTGACCAAATTCACATAGAAATGTGTGTTATAGATCTGTCATTCTCATTGAAAGCAAGTCTAAGAAGCAGTAGATCTGTTCTATGTGTGCTATTTCTATGCTTCCATTTCTGAAGTTTAGTTTTTTTGTCGTTTACTTTCGGTTTTGTACACCAGTTTCAAACAGCAGAATATACAATATTTTGGGTTAAGGAAAATATTTTTCTCAGCGGTTTAGATGGTACAATGATTCTCTACAGAATGATTGCGTTTTTTGTCACATAAACTGAAATTAGGCAAACTATTAGAATTTTAGCAACCAGGAAATGGTGGAGCGATTTCTGCATAGTGCGTCTTTAAAACAACTAATGCTAGAAATTCTAGACTATTCCTGATCTGGCACATCTTCGCATCACCTTCAGCATTCAAATGTTTGTAAAATGGCTTGCGCAACATTAGGCTTTATTAGTTGAGTGACAACCAATGTAATTTGCTAGGTGATTTTTATCAAATGCGCTGTTGAAAATTGAGTTTTACTGGAATAAAAGTAGCCTAAGCTACTGCAGGAGACACAACTCTCATCTGGCTATAGGCTATAGGCTACCTTCTAATCGGGGCTTACATTAGATTTTATTTAGATTGTTCTGGTTCACCATCAGCAATAGTTTTGGTAGTTTTGCTTGAAACAATTAGTATGGTCATTTTTACATATACATAGTAAAGTTGATAATTTCGTAACGAGGACAGCAATCACTTTTGATACCCGCACTGCATGGTCGAACCGGGATAGGAGGAGGAGCTCACATCCAGTCTGACAACTTCCTAACGGTCCAAAAAATGATAATAATGCAAACATCCCCCCCCCCTCTGAACTGATAGTGGGGGTGGTAGTTTCCCTTATTTTTTTAAACATTTTAGTCATTTAGCAGACGCTCTTATCCAGAACGACTTACAGTTAGTGAGCGCATACATTTTTCATACTGGCCCCCCGTGGGAAACGAACCCACAACCCTGGCGTTGCAAGCGCCATGCTCTACCAACTGAGGTACAGGGGACCTTATGGCTCAGCTCAGGTTCCTACATACACCATAGACATATTCACACACCACATATACACACACACACACAGATCCAGCTCAGAGAGGCCCAGCTCATGAGCTCCATCCGCAACAGATGTTAATTTAGAATGGAAAATGAATGTGTTTGTGCATCGATTCCCCGATTCCTTCCTCTAATCAAACCGAATCGCAAGAATTGTTTCAAACTCAAACGTATCGTTCCTGTATCGTATCAGAGCCCATGCATCTAGACACACTACCGGTCAAAAGTTTTAGAACACCTACTCATTCAAGGGTTTTCCTTTATTTTTGACCATGTCTTAAATTAACCGTCTCTCTTTGCTTATTTTAGCTGTTCTTGCCATAATATGGACTTGGTCTTTTACCAAATAGGGCTATCTTGTCACAACACAACTGATTGGCTCAAACGCATTAAGAAGGAAAAGAAGGAAAGAAATTCCACAAATTAACTTTTAACAAGGCACACCTGTTCATTGAAATGCATTCCAGGTGACTACCTCATGAAGCTGGTTGAGAGAATGCCAAGAGTGTGTAAAGCTGTCATCAAGGCAAAGGGTGGCTATTTGAAGAATCTCAAATATAAAATATATTTAGATTTGTTTACACTTTTTGGGTTACTACATGATTCCATACGTGTTATTTCATAGTTTTGATGTCTTCACTATTATTCTACAATGTAGAAAATAAAGAAAAACCCTTGAATGAGTAGGTATGTCCAAACTTTTGACCGGTAGTGTATGTATCTAATCATTTACATTTTAGTCATTTAGCAGACGCTCTTATCCAGAGCGACTTACATGAGCAATTAGGGTTAAGTGCCTTGCTTAAGGGCACATCGACATATTTTTCACCTAGTCGGCTCGGGGATTAGAACCAGCGACCTTTCGGTTACTGGCACAACGCTCTTACCCACAAAGCTACCTGCACATCCTTAACTTGCATGTTTCCCCTTTTCTATGTCTATTTGAAATTTTGAATGAATGCGTGCTAACAACATTGAGTGGCATCGCTCTCAATGTCATGGTCCCCACTAGACCTCTCAACTTTGCATTGCAAAAGGTACAAAAGTCCCATCATTTCAGGTGTAAAGTCAAATGGAGTAGACAGACATAGAGAGATAATCACTGATGGGACTTCGTTTTCCTTCCAACAGCTTCCTTCTCGTTCCTAGTTACCTGTATTTCCCCATTACTGTTCTTTTGAGGTCATTGCAGGTGATTTTGTGAGCAGCTGCCCAACTTTGGTCCATTAGAACTGTGACTCTGCACGCGTACAGGACAATGCTGTGGCGCAGCAGATTGGTGTTAGCAGCAGCTACACTGACCAATAAACGCCTGCATCTCTGCAGCAGCACTGGGCTGGCTGATGGAGCAGCCCTCCACTGGAGCCTCTTTCCCTGGCCCAGCCATGCCTGGAGGGGAGCACGTGCTAGGTGTGGTGACAGGCCATCTCCGTGGTGCTGGTAATGCAAGGCTTCTTCAGGATTAGTCAGTCTGATCCAGGATGTGGAGGGTGGAGACGGTGTGACGTGGAGGAAGGGACTCCACCACTAATACAACTGTCTGCTGCTTCCCTTTTTATGTAGGATTTTGTATCGGGTTATAATGAAGTGAAGTGAGGAACTAGAGGTCAGGTTTTGGGGTTAGGTGTTGGTTGTGTGGGAGGTATTTTCATAGCTGCAGCTATTGAAGGGTTGTAAATGCAGCGTTTGCGGCGGTCTCTATAGGTTGTCCATCTGGTTTGTGAAGCAAACATTGCAAACCGGAACGTTTGTTGACAAAGTCAACAACTTTGTCACACACTTCAGGCTCTCGGCCTCTGATGTTCTCCAATCTAGTTTGTGCCACTGCTGATTATTGCAATGATGCTCCCAGTGCTGCGTGCCAGCTACAGAAGGCAGAGAAAAACATCATTATGATGCATCATGTGCCTTGTGAGCAGCAGCTCCTCGCCACTGTCTCCAGGGCAATGTGTTTCTACATTAGAAAGATCCACACAGACGCAGGCCCTACTCCTCCTGTGTCCTGACCTTACTGGGGCGCTTTGGGTGAGCTCCAAGGGTACCAAAGCAGTGCCCCGGCCCCCTATCCCTAATTGAAAATAATTATCTGACCGCCAAACGTGAACCTCTGTAGAACAGATTAAAAGGACAATCGACTGAAGAAGTGGCTTTGAATCGATTCCATCCTCTGTGACTAAAAAGAGCACTCTGTTCTCTGAAAAGTTACAAAATGGTGTGTTGGCTCTGTCACCATTAACTGCTGAGCCTGCCTGCCTGCTCTCTCTCACTCTTTGATTGAATAGGTGGAGGGAGGGGAGGGGCTTAGAGAATTTGTGTGATGGAACGGAATTCACCAGTCACGGAACTCTCCACTAGTCCACACAGGAGCCATGTATAGAGAGTTGGTCAAACAAAAAAAGCAAAATATTATTCCAATTCTAGACATTCAGTTAAATAGCATTATTTAAATATTCTCCATGTAATGCTTATGTGACGCTGACATGGCTGCCATATCATTTTGAAGTGTCATGTAAATGCATCATAATGCAGAAACCTCAATGGCCCAACTCTCTCTAAATACATGGCTCACAATGGGTTTACTATTACGAGGGCTAATGTAACCACGGCTCATTTTGTGTATTGCAGCGTATGCTTGTGACTGTATCTCTTAATGATTTATACTCTGTTTCCTCTCACTAGGTCGCCTAGGATTCACCCATCCAGGGGGAGATAGTCCTTTGCCCATAAATGGTATGTCAATGGTTTTCTAGCACTAGTGCTCTGATGGCTTAACCCATGCTTAACCCATGGATGGATGGAGGGTGAAACAAGCCATATGTTAACATAGTCCGCAAGATTAGCAGCATCATGTCTGTGCTTAGCGTGCTCTTGAGGCACCGCTGTGGGTTTGCTAATCTGTGGACGACTCTTCTTACGCCATTAGTTATTTTTAATGATTGATATGGATTTATTGAATAGTAATCTTTTGTGGACAGATGCACGTAGAATTACTGGTATTGTAGCATCTGTCAACAGACTGTGTGGGTTGCAACCACTAACGAGGAACTTGTTTCCGGTGCGTAGATTTTTCAGCACTGGTAATTACAAAAAAATCACGATTTCGCAGGTGTAAGCATCATTTGAATTTCGGACTAGGAGGGGACATTTGGCCCATAGACTTGTCTGTAACTTCCAAAAAGAGAGGGGGTGGAGCTCCTCGTTCACCTAGCGCTCCTCGTTCTAGTATCTTTTCTAACATGTCTCCCCCAGAACTGAATCCATTTTTTTGTTCTGGGTTAATTGAATAGTAATAGGATAGGAAAGCTACGCTAGGCTAATTTACCAAATCTACTGGAGTCTTTGATCATTTTGGTAATTAACAGATCATTTATTGTAACTTTGGTAATTTATACTCAAATAACTTTTTTAAAAATGTATTCATAGTATTCATTTTTTTTATATTATAACATATTATATATGAGTTTCTAGTGGATAGACCATATGGTTCAAGAGAAAATAGCCTAATGAATGGATAAAAGCATCTAATCAACAATGGCATTATTTTCAATTAACTCTGCAACTCTTCCAACCATTGACTTTTTTTCACAACTGCCACAAGTTTGGCGCCAACACATTTACAACAAAGACATAGTAAAATAAACATTGTTATATAAAGGAGATTTCATGCTGAATCCTTCATATTAAACAGCATTGGAATTCACTAAGTTGATGGTTTATATTTAGGATAATGTTTTACTGCTTTGTCATTCTAATTTCTATTTTAAAATCGTATAACTAAGATGACTGCACTTCGGCTTATGCATATCAACATACAGTTGAGGAAGCTGTATTTTTTTAAAATTTAAATTCTTTATGAACATGTCACTATCTCTAGGCAAGAGGAGGTTTCATTCTCAAGTAAGAACACACACGAGGAGCTTAGTTCTTTCATTGCATAGGCAAGATATGATTTTATATATTTTACATATGATAAGGCCACAGAGGGCCGGAGGCTATGCTATTTGCATTCAGCCAGACCTCTCATTTGCCTAGCTATGCAATGAAAGAACTAAGCTCCCTGTATTTGTGTTCTTACTTGAGAATGAAACCTCCGATTGCCTAAGAAATATAATAATACAGCTTCCTCAACTGTATTTTGATATGCATAAGCCGAAGTGCAACTGAGAGCCCAGTGATCCACCATGGACGCTCTCCCTGAGTCTCATAGTGTTAGCCTATATTGCGCCGTCATATGGTCAGACAGTGATCAAACAGTACAGATATTGGTCCTGCATCGATACCATTCAGAGAGTACTAGTCTTAGAGCGGCAGTCACACCAGCTGATAGTTACTCTGTGGAACACACATATGGGCACACACGTGTATCAGAGAGCGTGTAAAACCACCCTCCACTGACTTCCTGAAGAGCTTCTCTCCATCTGGCCCATGGAAGGGAGTGCGTGCGTGATCCTCATGAGGAGTCCAGGAGACGTGTAGAGACGTGACAGCCCAGCTATATCAAGGGTGGATGTTCAACACAAGGGCATCCTCTGGCTGTGTCTGCCATGTACTGCTGGGCACTGAGGAGGCAATACAGGACTAATCATGTGTAGGATTTGACTGAAAAGGAGAAGGGCATGTGTTGAAAACTGTCATTGCTGGTCACTGTTGATGTTCTGTGCATCCCTTTGTTCACCTGTCTTGTTTTTACATGCAGCAAGGAATTATGGGAGGAGACGAGGTAAATAGATTATCTTGGGTTATTCAAGTGGATTATTTTTTTTTTTTTACCTTCAAAACGGGCATCGAAAGACCCTGTCTTTTGCATCCATGTTCAGTCTTTGTGAAGGGGGACAGTATGTGTTTGCATGGAGATGTTGTGCTTCATTGTTGGTCTGTTGGTTGGTCTGGCATGTTGGTGTTTTTCCCCTCAAAAGTGTATTAGTCTCCAAGAGCTTTTGTCTGTGGTGTTGTGGTTGTCAGCATTACATTTGTTTGTGTACAGAGCGAGAAACACACTACACACACGTCACACAGTCACCACTAGCCGACCCCCGCCCAGTACCGTGCCCTGTATTTGAGTCACTGTCACTAGATGGCTACCACCCGGTTACTCTACCATGCACCTTAGATGCTGCTGACCTATGTACATAGACATGGAACACTGGTCACTTTAATTAATGTTTACATACTGTTTTACGTACTTCATATCTGTATACTGTATTCTAGTCAAGGCCTATCCTATTTAACTATTGCTGTACATAAATATTCTTCAGATATACTACATTCTATCCGTATACTGTCCATATTGTCTATACATCCCATCATATATATATATACACTACCGGTCAAAAGTTTTAGAACACCTACTCATTCAAGGGTTTTTCTTTATTTTTACTATTTTCTACATTGTAGAATAATAGTGAAGACATCAAAACTATGAAATAACACATATGGAATCATGTAGTAACCAAAAAAGTGTTAAACAAATCAAAATATATTTCTTCAGATTCTTCAAATAGCCACCCCTTGCCTTGATGACAGCTTTTGACTAGGGCCCATAGGGAATTTGGGATGCAGCCCTAGCTCCTCAATGGTATATTACAACCGGTTAGATGGAGTGTTGCATTTCATCACATCAGCATGTATGTAATGGGGGAGAAGGGAGGACTTTCGTACAGCTATTTGTGGGGACTGTGTGTTTGAGCTGAAACGGGGGATGGCTGGTGTAGTTCTGTGCTGGGGGACGGATGTGGAGGGAGGGAGGGAGGGAGGGGGGAGAGGGAGATTGATTAAAATCCCTGGCTCAGTCCCTCTTACACAGCTCAGCAGGGCCTTACTCTAGCATTGTCTCTGGCACTCAATGACTCATGTGAGATGAATTACTGGAAAATGGGCACGTTGTTGTAGCTAATATTACTAGGCCATACCTAACCATGCAATGATATTCCCCTCACTCAACTCATGTTGATAAACCTAGGAAATAAACTCCATGAGTGTTGATCTTTTTTTGTTATATCGGTGTTATATCAGTTGTGTTAAGTAGCCATGTATCATTGGCTGACTGTGTGCGATCCTCTCCTCAGGCCATTCTTCCCTGTTCCCCATGGAGGATGGTTTCCCTGACGACGAGCGTGGCGAGCAGAGCCTGCCTGGTCTGGGCTCGCCCCACTGCTTCCCCCACCAGAACGGGGAGCGCGTGGAGCGCTACTCCCGCAAGGTCTTCGTTGGCGGTCTCCCCCCTGATATTGATGAAGGTAACCTTTTTTACAGCTTCACTGGACAACACTGCTGACGCCAGTCACATAGGTGGAGGTAATGAGCTGTGAACACAAGGATGATACTGGACTGGACACCTGGTTGATAGGGTGGAGGTCTAGAATGTGTATGTCTTCATGGCCAGTAGGGTTACATGACGGATGTTAAAGATGTCTCCCTTTGTGACCAATTTCTGCCGTAGACTTTCACCATACAGCGCTGCTCTGCCATTTTTCTCACTGCATGACACAACGTCGTGTGTTATTTAGTTCAGTTTCTGCCTGGTTCTTATTGCTTCCTGAGGGCTTTGGCTCATGAGTATGCATAGTTGTAGTACATTCTGTGTGTTTTGTAGAATAAGGAGTGGAGAACAGATTCGTGTTGCTGGCAGAGGATTTGAGAGGACAACTGAGGCTTTGCTTGTTTTCTGGATGCTACCATCTGCTCTGCTTTATGCTCTCCGTTTACCGTTACAATCCACACCCAACGTAACAGGGACTCACATATCCCTGTAGTCTACCCCACTAAAAACAACCATCGGATGTTAACACATATGCACCGTATCACAGTAGAACCACTGTGAAGCAATAGTTGAATGTTTTTCTTTTTCACCTTTTTAGATGAGATAACTGCTAGTTTCCGTCGTTTCGGACACCTCTTTGTGGACTGGCCTCACAAGGCAGAGAGCAAATCTTACTTTCCCCCGAAAGGTGAGTCACGTTTTAAGTCAACCTACTGCTACTGTCCTTATCGCCACATACAGCAGTGCTATCAAAATGTACTATCAGAATTGACTATTGAGGTCGAAATAGTCTGAAATGTTAGAACAAACTCATGAGCAGAGCGGTCTTACCGTCGGCAGTCATTTCCAGCAGCAGACAGAGAATGAAACGGTAGAGGTAAGCGTTAAGTCCTCTAGTAATCTCTGTCAGTGTTCTGTGTAGGTGGTTTGAGTGGCCTTGTCCTCTGTCGTTTGCTCTGTAGGTTATGCCTTCCTGCTGTTCCAGGAGGAGAGCTCTGTGCAGGCCCTGATTGAGGCCTGTATTGAAGAGGATGGCAAGCTCTACCTATGTGTGTCCAGCCCCACCATCAAAGACAAGCCGGTGAGCAGATTGCACCATCACCCATCTGCTAAATATCTTCTCTCTCCTTCTCTCATACTATTGTGAAAGATATCAAGATGCAGCACCACAGCAGCATTTTACTGCGTCATGTTTTATTTAGTGAGCCCATTCGATTAGTCGCTGACCAAGTGAATAACCAAGCAGCCACCCTTCTTTGTAGAATTGGCTTTGCATCGTTAAAGGCATAACATGGTAGACATGACAAACGTTAAGACGTGACATGTTGTGATACATATGTCTCCCTGTGTATATGTTTAACAGGTCCAGATCCGCCCCTGGAACCTGAACGACAGTGACTTTGTGATGGACGGCTCCCAGCCTCTGGACCCCAGGAAGACCATATTTGTGGGTGGGGTGCCACGCCCTCTCCGTGCAGGTAACCTATTGACCCTGGTCAGCTAAAGCCACACTTCCATTGGCACTTTAGTCCTGAGGTGTGTTCCAAATGGCAACCTTTTCCCTATATAGTGCACTACTTTTGACTAGGGCCCATAGGGAATTTGGGATGCAGCCCTAGCTCCTCTATGGTATATTAAAACCGGTTAGATGAGTGTTGCATTTCATCACATCAGCATGTATGTAATGGGGGAGAAGGGAGGACTTTCGTACAGCTATTTGGAACATTATGGCCAAGTTCGGAATGTCACATTAAATCTATGAGGCTAGACCCTGGAATTGTGCTGCAGTCTAACCCATCTGTAACCTGTGTTTCCCTCCTTCCACAGTGGAGCTGGCCATGATCATGGACAGGCTGTATGGAGGGGTGTGCTATGCAGGTATCGACACAGACCCAGAGCTCAAGTACCCCAAGGGAGCAGGGCGGGTGGCCTTCTCTAATCAGCAGAGCTACATTGCTGCTATCAGCGCTCGTTTTGTCCAACTGCAGCACGGAGAAATTGATAAACGGGTTAGTGAAGGCTCTTTTTTTCTCTCTCAGGCAAATACAGCATTACACAAACAAATATGCAGAAGGACAGAAATGTTGTACAAAACAGATAAAAGGCTCTTGTCTCATGTCTTTTAAAAGGGCATTGTTCTTTATTGTAATGGTTTTAAAAGATTAAAGAAAAATATTTGTTGGCATTTTGACTGGGGCATACGAAGACAGAAAACAAATGTCTTGTACTTTTAACCAGCTGCCACCTGCAGAAGAATTTGGCTATTTCACTCAGCCAAAATCAGTCAAACTGGAATAATTGTTCACAAATTAATATGTGCCAAGCCAACGTGTCTCTACTTTTGTAGTGACTTGAGAATTTTTGTAGATAAAATGTTTTGTAAAAAGGATGGAATGTGCGTAATTGTCAGTACAATTATGTGTTGTGTGTAAAATCTTTGAAGATAAACTATATATACAAAAGTATGTGGACACCCCTTCAAATTAGTGGATTCTGCTATTTCTGCCACACCCGTTGCTGACAGGTGTATAAAATCGAGCACACAGCCGTCCAATCTCCATAGACAAACATTGGCAGTAGAATGGCCTTACTGAAGACCTCAGTGACTTTCAACATGGCACCGTCATAGGATGCCACCTTTCCAACAAGTCAGTTCGTCAAATTTCTGCCCTGCTAGAGCTGCCCTGGTCAACTGTAAGTGCTGTTATTGTGAAGTGGAAACGTCTAGGAGAAACAACGGCTCAGCTGACAAAGTGGTACGCCACACAAGCTCACAGAACGGGACTGCCGAGTGCTGAAGCGCGTAGCGAGTAAAAATCATCTGTCCTCGGTTGCAACACTCACTACCGAGTTCCAAACTGACTCTGGAAGCAACGTCAGCACAAGAACTGTTCGTCGGGAGCTTCATGAAATGGGTTTCCAGGGCCGAGCAGCTGCACACAAGCCTAAGATCACCATGCACAATGCCAAGCGTCGGCTGGAGTGCTGTAAAGCTTGCTGCCATTGGACTCTGGAGCAGTGGAAACGCGTTCTCTGGAGTGATGAATCACGCTTCACCATCTGGCAGTCCAACAGACTAATCTGGGTTTGGCGGATGCCAGGAGAACGCTACCTGCACGAATGCATAGTTTATAATTGTCTGGGGCTGTTTTCATGGTTCGGGCTAGGCCCCTTAGTTCCAGTGAAGGGAATCTTAATAATAATAATAATAATATGCCATTTAGCAGACGCTTTTATCCAAAGCGACTTACAGTCATACGTGCATACATTTTTGTGTATGGGTGGTCCCGGGGATCGAACCCACTACCTTGGCGTTACAAGCGCCGTGCTCTACCAGCTGAGCTACAGAGGACCACATCTTAACACTACAGCATACAATGACATTCTAGACGATTCTGTGCTTCCAACTTTGTGGCAAGAGTTTGGGGAAGGCCCTTTCCTGTTTCAGCATGACAATGCCCCCGTGCACAAAGCGAGGTCCATACAGAAATGGTTTGTCGAGATCGGTGTGGATGAATTGGGATGAATTGAAACGCTGACTGCAAGCCAGGCCTAATCGCCCCAACATCAGTGCCTGACCTCACTAATGCTCTTGTGGCTGAATGGATGCAAGTCCCCGCAGCAATGTTCTAACATCTAGTGGAAAGCCTTCCCAGGAGAGTGGAGGCTGTTATAGCAGCAAAGGGGGGACCAACTCCATATTAATGCCCATGGTTTGACGAGCAGGTGTCCACATACTTTTGGTCATGTAGTGTACATGAATGTAAATTAATCCTAGCTTTGTTCTCTAGTGGGTGTTTGACAGATAGTCTTCTGTCTCTCTCTCTGTCTCTCTCTCTGTCTCTCTCTCTGTCTCTCTCTCTGTCTCTCTCTCTGTCTCTCTCTCTGTCTCTCTCTCTGTCTCTCTACAGGTGGAAGTGAAGCCATACGTCCTGGACGACCAGCTGTGTGATGAGTGTCAGGGAACCCGGTGTGGGGGCAAGTTTGCCCCTTTCTTCTGCGCCAACGTCACCTGTCTCCAGTATTACTGTGAATACTGCTGGGCGGCCATTCACTCGCGCGCCGGCCGTGAGTTCCACAAGCCACTGGTAAAGGAAGGAGGGGACCGGCCTAGGCACATCTCCTTCCGCTGGAACTGATTGACACACACACAGAGAGAGAGGCAGAGGGGGGAGTAGGAGTTGCAAAATCATTGTACAAATAAATGCACTTTTCTGTTGCTGGTTCCTTTTTAGCTCTAATTTGAAAATACATTTTAATTTTAAATTCATATTTATTTTAAAGATGAGAAACTGGAATTATATCCAGATATGTCAAGGAAGGAAAAGAACATGTTTAAATCCCATTCTTTACTTTCTCCAGTTGATTTTATATTTTAATAGTGCATATAGACATTTGAAAAAAATTGGGCTTTCAATTGTCACTCTGCTATCCAATTTGGCGTGTCATTGACCATGAATTTAAAAGCAGTATGTTCAGTTTTAATTTTGATACAATAGGTTTCAGAGCAAATGTAAATATAAAAGGTGTTGCTAAGGAAGAGTGCACTTATTTATTTACTTTAGAGTGCAGATGATACAGTATAAAATCCCAGTAGTTTAACCAAAGCTTAATCTCAATTGGTTTGAAAAAGAAACAACTACAGAAACGTGGGTTCTTTCCCAGATCAAATGTTTGAAATAATGTTTTAAGACCATGCTAATATTTGATGTTACTTGACAAGATCGACTTCACAATAGGCGTTTGAGTTTGATCTCCATTTTGACATGCAAAAACTAATACCTCAAGCTTAGCTGCTAATGTGCCGAATAAGGTCTCCCCCTTCCCTTAGGACCACAATCAAAGGGAAACGGCGTCAGCAAAAAGGCACAGTTTATAGACACTGTTTTGTCGCTTCCTTATTTTTGTAATCCAACCAGGGTTGTAGTAAGAATGAACAGAGCATCTTATTGGGGAATGTATGGCGTTGGAGGTCCCAGAGGCCCTGAGCGCTGGCCGGTGTAGAGATAATAAGTGACCCCACTCTCTGTGTCTGTGGTCCTGCTAGCTAGGAGAGAAGGAGGGGCTAGGGTCTAGTTCTCATCAGGGCTGCATGTGAGCAGAAAGCCCCTGTTTTTCATTTATTATTATTAATGCAGTGGTGCAAATCTCCCAAGCCTTTATCCACAACCCTATTTTGTTTTTAACCCCCCTCAAAAAAAGAGAAAGAAATTAGGAAAGTCGGGGTTGTCATCAACACACATTGACGGCTAGAGGAGTTGATATAACTATAACAGCCGAGCTAACTCAGCCAGTGTTTTAAGCATAAATGAAGATACTCCATGCAATGTGCTCTACTATGTGCGTCCCACATGCAGTTAATTCACTCAAACAAGACTGCAATAAAGAGTTTATACCTAGACGCTTTAGGGAACCAAAGACGGCTGTGCAGTAGTGAGTAATGCTAGCTCATTTCTTTTTTTCTCTTTTTTTTTGAGTTTTCATTCTTGTTTTTCTATCATTTCTACCCTTTCCTTACGAAGACCAGATGGACACCAGTAAACCAAAGATTGGCCTTGAATAGATAACAGTGCAGTCAAAATCCAGGAAAATATTAGTGAAAACAACTGGACTTATTGAGCTTACAAGCACCCAGGCCTTTTCACCAGTCAATCCGCTCATTTCCAAGGGTCAAAATGGAGAAGCTTCTTGCTAGGCAGTTGTGTAACGTGGATAGGTCTGCAACAGGTTTGGAAATGTAATGCAAAAAGCTAAACAAAGACTCACAGTTGGTCTGGTTATTATAGTCATACAGTATCTGAATCTACTAGCGTTAAATATGTCAGGGAGTAAGTGCTGAAATATAACTTAATACACTAGTGAAGTACGTATCCTTGTGTTGGCTTGATGGTGTGCTACTGCACCAGGTCTGCACCATGTCTTTAGCTTGTGGGTGTGGTGGGTGAACATTTTAGAAGTTAAAAACCCTTTTTGAAGAATTTGCTGTTAATGAGATAAAAAAAAAAATGATTATTTTATACATGGCCTGCTGATTTTTGGTACAGTGTTTTCTAGCTAAATTATTTTGTCATGCACATATAAACATTTATTATGCACTACTTTTCTAAATATTTTTTTTTCAACAGTCATTTTAGGCACATTTTTCACAAATGGGAAAACTCCTTTTTGCAATACCTCAATTTTTCACATTGTGAAAGGTAGCTTTTGTACTTTTGTTACTGAGAGATCTGCATATATGGACATTCTCATTTAAAGAAAAAAGTTGAGTGATTTCAATATATATTATTTTCAATTATGCTTTTTATACATTTCAGTGCTGAGGAATCTTTACAACTAAGTGCACACTTGTGTTGATGCGACTTCAAAACTGCAGAGGAATGATCAAAGTGTATTGCTTAAGGTATTAGATCTCATACACTAAATGTTTCACAAAAATCTGATCTTAACAGCATGGTGAGAAAAGGTTGTCATTTAAAATTAATGTTAATGTTAAAAAAATGGCTATCCTAGTTGGAAAACGGTAACTTCTATTATTTTTGTTTCCTCTCCATAGCTGGAATGTAACAATTATAAGGAGAATGCAAATTATGGTTCATAATTAGGCTGAATCTCGTATCACAAGAATGGATGTTTGGTGTTTTAGATATTTTAACATTTGAAAATGTATATTCTTGAACTTGCCAACTAGCTCCTATTGTAATCCTTAGCATGCATGATAAAAAAAAAGAAGATAAGTACATGAATTAGCTATTGAAATTAATTGTTGTAGTTGTGCACCAGATGTTTCTCAACTTTAATTTAAGGACACCCCCACACCTCACTCCCCTCCCATGTTTTCATCTCTTTGCCTTCCCCATACTCAGACCTCTGCAGGATGCACAGAAAAATATACAAGAAAATAAGATGAAAAAAAACTCTAAAATATATTTTAGCAGTGCAGGACTTGAGCATCTTATAGGACACTGTTGAAAAGACTTGATAACTCTTCTCCACTGTCTGTTGAGGCAAATAAACCTTGTTGGAGGAAGGGGAACATTAAGACTTGAATGTGGTAAATGTTGCAAGTTAACTTCGAGTTGTTATGTGCAATACTTTTTTTGAACTTTTTTCCAGATAAAGACTCTTTGCAATGTAATTCTTTAATGCCATTTTTAATTGCAGACATTTAAAGAAGATGTTAATATGTTTTTCACAGTCATTTTCTACTGTTATTGTAATCCTTTTCATGCTGGTGTTTGTAAAAAAGAAAAGAAAAAGAAATCAAACTATTTGTACTAATATAAATAATTGAAGTTATTTTTTAAAACATTAAAGGTTTTGTGCTCATTTGCTTAATTTGTTTATTTCAAGCTACTGTGATTGATTGCAATGTAATTATTAGGTCAATAATGTATTTAGCTGTTTATTGGTATATTTTTAATTGGAATGTATAATTTTTTATAATTTTGATCAGATTTTTTGTTATATTTTTGAGGTGAAGCTTTTAATATGTTAGTGTCTAGTTTTTACTAATTGCTATATTGTGCTCCACAATATATGGTTCACATTTTCTGAAGGAAAATAAATATTTAAATATTGGTCTGTTGATGATGTTATACTTAATGGCAAAATTTCGATAGTTTTTAACTGTATGGGAAGGTTGTTGTATTTATTAATATTTTTTGTTTTTTACTTAAGAGATCACCTTAATTTTTATTGTCATTTCACTTTATAAGTTCCTATTTTTGTATTTTCCTTTCTAATTAAGTTATGTAATACAAAATGTCCATATTTCTAGAAGTTGGTCTGTAGAAGTGCTAGTGAAATGAAAAAGAAAAATCTAATGTTATTTAATTGTTTGCAGCCAACTATTTATAACAGTATGCATAACTTTTAAATATTTGTAATGTGAAATGTTGAATGAATAAAACTTAACTGTGACGATAAGGCCCATTTGTGTTCATATTTCTGTGTGGACTGTTAAGTGTATTGCGTTTTCTGTAGATGTTCGTTGGTTGCTGCTTTCATAAAGCTAGGCAGCGGCAATTACTGGGCCCTGGCTGATAAAACCTCTGAATTAATTCAGATATCTTTACTACATACAAGCAAATAAGGTTGCAATGATTTATGTACGTTATGCTGTGTGTGAGAGCGAGAGAGAGGGTGGTAAATGGCGACCACCAGCAGCTTTCGCAGATGTCGGTATATTAACCATTCATATTTTATGAGAAGTTATTTTGCAACCATTAATTATTTCCTTTTCCAGGCTATGAAATCAGTGTGTTTGTATGCCAGTCATTACACAATCCTTTCAAAAACTCAATGTCACTCTAATGCTATGGTCATCCTTGCTTTATACCTTGTGTCAAACTCGTTGCATGGAGGTCTGCGGGTTTTTGCTCCTCCCTTGTACTTGATTGATGAATTAAGGTCAGTGATTAGTAAGGAGCTCCCTTTACCTGGTTGTCTAGGTCTTAATTGAAAGGAAAAACCAAAAACCAGCAGATATTAGGCCCTCCATGGAATGAGTTTGACACCCCTGCTTTATACAAACCGTAGCTGATGAAGCCAGTCATTGTAAATAGATGTATCATCACACATGCCAGGGTATTGATAATCATGCAGAAATGTCCTGGAATAAAGAATGTGATTAGTGTCACAGTCTACAAACACTGTAAGTGATCATATTCATCAGACTCAGCAGCGCCACCTGCCTGCTGACTGGTACATAACCAATATAAAGCACCACTCAGAATTCACTCTAATGTAGTCTAATAATGTGTCAAACCTGAAAGAAAACCATTAGCTCACTACCCTTGGGACCTTATCTACCTTGGGTAGCAGCACTCACAGCACTCACATTGCCTGAGTAAGTGTAAAGCCATACCATTTTCCTTCAATATAGGCAAAACCATGAATTACCTTGCTATCATCAAAATAGGTAATGCAAGAGAAAAAGTTTTAGGTCCCTGGGGCTGTGAAGTGCATTTGGGAAAACCTTTCCTCTCATAAGACTGCATCAAAAACAGTAGTTGGGCTCCTGTAAATGTGGACCCCACCCCTGTTCTCGGATGGCGTTGCATGGATATACCGCTGCAGGATGTGTACATATACTGAACAAAAATATAAATACATGTAAAGTGTTGGTCCCATGTTTCAT